GTGATAGCAAAAATTATCGATGAGCTATCGATAAAAAATTAAATCGGAACATATACTTCTTTACAAATAAATTACAATGTATGTAAATTTTAGTTACAGTTTAATACAAATGATGATATTATAGTTGTATATTATAGTATGTTTTAATTTATATATGAAAGTCGTCTTCAATTTTATGTTAATTGCAACATTTATCTTAACATTAAAACAAATAAAATGACTGCCAGCACCTGTGATTTTCTGTAAGAAGTTGACTCCACCTGCACCTTAAGCCTTTGAAGTTTTCAAGGTACAAGTACTAGCGCCTTTCGGAAAGTCCAGTGGGTCAAATATCGGGATAGAAGGTAAAAATAATCGAGAATTTGGTTTACAAATGTAATAAAATGAAAAGGAAAGCAGGTTTTTTTGTAGCCATCTTGGCCACCATGAATTATATTAGTCTTTTTGGCACAATGTGCAATGTGCTTTATAGTTATCTATATATATATAGAATAATTTATCGTCCAAAAATTGGAAAAACTGCATATTCGTCGAACAAATTGCCGAAAAAGACGCAACTATGTGCGTTTTTCTTTTTCCGCAAACCAGAATTTGTTGAAGGATTAGTTATAATTGCAGACTGAATTTTCTGAATGACTCATTTTAATGTCATTCTGAAAAAAAACTAATAAATCTCATGAACTCACAACGCATGCACTTCAAAATACCCTCAATAACGTCATCATACAATAAAAAAAGTATACTACTACTACAATAAAAAAACTATACTATTAATTTGTAACCTCAAGTGCCCAAAAATACTTGCATCGCACGCATAAAGTCACTTTGTTTATTGAAAACAACAGTACCTACAACCACTTGAAGAAATTGACTAGTGTAAGAACTAACTCACAAGACTTGCATTTTAGTCCGAGTTTGTTGAGAAAATATGAAATGTCAAAGCTAAAATATTTAAATGGAGTAACAGCTTACAGATGTATTCATTTTTGCTGTTATACTCGTAATTATCGATCGAAGTACAGACTAAAAAGGTTAGTAAGAAATCGGAATATTTCGTCCCGATCAAAGGTGAATAGAAACGTGTCACAAGACTACTGAAAATCGAGACATCTTGCCCAAATCGGGAAACCTGGCAACACTAATGGGTATGTATAATCTATGCTATTGCCTCGCACTTTGTATGAAGAACCTATCGGCCGTTTTGTAATTTCCAGTTGAGTTTATATTGCTTTTACTTTCGATTATTGAGTTTATTGTTGTGTTTTGTTAAGTTAATTTTTCTATTTGTCTAGTTTGTTTATTTATAATGCCAAAACTAACAAAAATATTGTTAAGGCGAGTCAAGCGGAGGCGTTAGTCATTAACCTTCGAGATTACTTTAAGCGAGAACAATAAAATGGCGGAATAAATATAAAACTATTTAATAATTTTCTTTATTTATTTTACCACTTTATTTATTTATATATTTGTTTATTGGTAATCGTAAGCTACTTAAATTATGAATATGACGGTATTGCACCACACATACTTAAATATAATTTTCTTACTTATTGCATCACTTGACAGTTTTTACGTCCGTACAGCTCTAGGAATTAAAAAAAAATACCGCTAGCAAGCATAATACGTAACTGCGTATGCAGTTGAAACAAATTAAATTTTTATAATTTTATTAGTAAGAAAATACTATATTAAGTGAGAATTTTGAAGTTAATCTTAACATAATAGTTATATCAGAATAGAAAAAAATAATAGAAACACATTTGGTGTTATTTTCCCATAGTTAAAAATTTTGTCGCATCTTGCAAACGCACGCAAGTTACGTTCTAGTGACCTGTCAACTTGTTATCTGCACTATGCTAGAACGCAAAGACTATAGATACACTACACTAGAACCACATAGTGGACGGAACCACTAGACGGCGCGAGTTGAATGCCGTCGAGGCCTGAGGTGAAGAGAGGGAGCATCTCCCCCCGCCGTCCGCACGCCGCGTCTCGCGCGCCTGCAGCGTAGTGCTGTGCTGTCCTTGACAACTATCATATGCTCACTGTGTTATCGTGTTAATATAAAGTTGCAGCCGCATGTTATTTTTGTTTTTAATGATGTCTGATCCGTGTACGTCAAGTTCTGTTACAAAAAAACGAGTTTTTATTCACCGCCAAGCACGGGAAATGGCAAAAAATGTTCTAGACATGTGTGTTAAAGAAAGGCAGAACAACAATTTAACATTCATATTAAATAATGCTTACGATCGCGCAAGCCACTGGACTTTCGAAGAGAACATTGTCTGCAATTCAAAATGAAGCCAAAAAAGGACCTCTTTGTTCGCCTTCTAAAAAGAAAAGACAGTGTAACAAGAAGACAAATTTAAACGTCGATGATTTTGATCGAGATGTTATACACAGAATTATTGAAGAATTTTATTTAACTTAAAAAAGTTGTTCCGACCTGCATTAAACTCCTCGTAGCTATTTGAGAAAAAATCGAGTTTCCATGGGGAGTGACGAGTTTAAGAAAATTGTTAAAAAACTATTGCTAAAAGGCCGGCAACGCTTCTGCAATTCCCCTGGTGTTGCGGTTGTTCATGGGCGGCGGTAGTCACTTACCATCAGGTGAGCCGCATGCTCGTTTGCCCCCTATTCTATAAAAAAAAACCATGGGATATAGATGGCTTAAATGTCATAATAAACATAGTATTTTGGTGCAGAGGCCAGCTGTCGCATATGCACGGTCAATTTATTTGCGGAAAATTCGTCAATATAGGCAAGAAGATCGAAATATTTTTTTTCTCGACGAAACATGGGTAGACAACAACCTCACATTTAAAAAATGCTGGAGAAATGAAATGATCGACGCTTTTTAAGGCTGGTACTACGTCAGGTGATTATCACGGACAGATGAACAGTGTTAATTTTGAGAAGTGGGCCACTGATATGTTAATCCCTAATCTACCACAAACCAGCGTTGTTGTGATGGACAACGCACCGTATCATAGTGTACAAGAAAATAAAGTCCCAACAAAGTCCAGCACCAAATCAGTAATGCTGGAATAGTTAACCAAGAACAATATCGAAGATTCACTTACTATGAAAAAAGATCAACTCTTTCACTTGGTTCAGTTACATAAACCTACGGAAAAATCTTTCAAAATCGATGAATTCATCAGAAGTCAAAACCATATCGTAGTAAGACTACCACCGTACATGTGCGACCTCAACCCTATTGAGTTAGCTTGGGCAAAAGTAAAAAGAATTGTAAGGCATCACAATGTTACTTCTGATTTCTCCCTAAAAAGGTTAAAAGAAGTTACGGAGCTGGCTCTCTCTCAGGTCACAGAGGAAGATTGGCGTGACTTCGACGATCACGTCATAATTTTAGACGAAAATTATTGGCAAAGAGATGGATTAATGGAAGATACCATAGATCGATTCATAATTGAGGTCAGCGATGGTGAGGATAGTGACACAGATTCAACCAAGTCTGCCATTTCAGAATCTGATGCTGCATAAATTATAACTTTTTTTATTGATTTTGATGTGTAAAATAATAAAAAATGTATGATAATTATTACCTTGTTTTTTCTAAACTTAAAACGTTAAACTTAAAACAATGTTGAAATTTATCGACACATTGTCATCATTAATTCTAATTAGGTCACAGCACTATCGCATTCCTGAGCTCTGCATTCAACTCGCGCCCTACCTGTAGAAAGGATAGCAGGACCAGATGTTCACACTTTTAACTCCGCTTCCAGTCTTCGGTCTAGTTATTTGACAGTAAACTATAGTAAAGTACTTTAAAAATTGGAAATTTCGCTTATAGACAAATCAGGTCGGCGAGTAGAAGACAGTCTTCTAGACACACTAGATGTCGGTGACGAAGGAGGAAATTCTCAAATGCCTGAACAAGAAGTATGGGGCAGTCCAGCTTTAGCGGCCACCGATAAGGACGATGAGTTAGTGGTCGGTGAAGTCATGCCACCCGACATTGATTACGCGGGCGTCAAATTTAATAATGAGGATTGTGATCTCTTGCATCTCATGCGTGTTGCTAAAGGAATAAATTAATTCAATAATATTATTTCTTTTATATGTATATATGCTTCCTTTTACGGTAAATTTATGTCGCGTACCCACATTTATGGAGTGTGGAGTTTGAATACAAAAGGCATATTTTTGTCGATCTGGATATTCTTTCGTTTTTTATCAGACTGCAAAATTACACTGTTTTACATGAACATGTCATCTTGTAGGGAGCGTTAGCCAAAATTGCAACTCTTGGTAGGCGAATTTACAATCACTGTATCAAACGTCTCGTACCTTTGACACTGGTCGCCATCGCCGGTATATATTTTTTACTTTTGGTTTTTATATTTATACCGCCATCAAACGGAAACCATGAGGTATTTCTGGCATTTACCAAAGTCGCCCATTACGACCACCACGGGATGAAATGGGGAATGGATACTTTTATTTTACATCTCCTTCTGAGAGTGGGTTACGGTCAGGTGAAAGCAATAAAAAACATGTGTGCAGTCCACACGCGGTCGAAGGGAAACTTTCAGAAATTAATAAAAGAGACCGAGACATTAGGTAACGCTGTATACTGTATTCTTTCTCATTCCATCGCAGGCGAAATCCATTGATGAATATGTTTGTCTTTTTCTTTAGAATCACTTATTCGTTTCATCGAGTTTCAAATCACAACGATTCGAAACTTTTCACTTCAAAAAAAAGTCCATAACCACGTACGAACGACTAGTGTCGTGAAAAGCGACTTTGGGAGATTCCAGAAAGTTCTTATATTATGTAAAATCCCCAACCCGTCTACAGAGAACAGCTTTAATCGTTCGAGATTGGCACTACAATTGACAATCTGCTTGCCAAGTAACGATTTTTTTTTAAGTAACTTTATACATGAGCGCCATTTAGTGCCAAGTGTGGTAACTCTAAAAAAATTATGTAGAGACTTGAAATAAAGTTGAGTTCCATACCATACTCACCAACTTGTTGATTGACCTGCGAGGCGACGAAGAGACTTTGTACGTACGCTCCCAATGCGTTTACTATGTCTTGGAATATGTTTGTGGCGTGCGGCTTCATATCGTAACACTCGCAGAACGCCTTAAGCAAATCTAGAAGGTTAGAACAAAAACAAAATAATAACGATATTACGAAGAAATATTAATATTTGGAAGAAATTAAATTTAAAATAATAACGAAGTTGTCAGCAAATGATGATATTTTATATCCTGATTGAGTAATAGTAAAACATAGAAGCATCCTATGCTTAATCCTCAATGCACACAAATGAGATTGTAGTTTGTAAAATGATAACGTAAGATCACCGCAAATCAAATCTGATGAAGAACATGTATTTGTAACTTTTTTTATATTGTACTTTCTTGCTAAAAACACTGCATTTCAAAATATTAATTTTGGTTGAATGTGAAAATGGCTTAACACAAAAACGTAATACAAATTGTAGCTAAAAAATTGAGTTATTGCATTGCTACTTACGAGGCTGTATAGTCATCTTGTGGAGTACTTCCAAAGCCAGAGCACGTTGCCAAAGAGGTTTGTCCGGGTCTAGGAACTTGATGGTCAATGACAGGAAGATTTCACACTCGGTAACCTACACCACAAATATTGAAGCAAACATTATAAATATTCAATAAATTTTATAACACAAAAATCTAACTATAAAAATATTAAGATCACAGCCCATCACAAATCCGCTGCTAAACATAGGCTTTGTTCAATGAGATCATACAAAGGCTTATTTTATACAATACATAGTATAAAATCTAAATATATAAAACCCAATCAGACGGAAATCATCGGCAGGGAGATCAAACAGCCGAGCATTCATAGAAAAGGGAAAGAAACCGGCGTACGATACAAGCTATATATTAAGAAGCACCGTCTTCTGTATTCGAGTCCAGAGCGGACCTTTACGGATTTCCGGTCGTCTCAGTTGACCATAGAGGCTCACCGGGATTAACAAATTCATAGGACAATAATTATTTAAATCTCTTAAATAACAGATGGTAATCCATGTAAAGAAACCCATCAACTTATTTCGCCCAGTAAATGTCATAAGAAGCGACTGAGGGAAACGCCAGAAAGATTTTATGCCTTCCAATAGATGGCGGTACACCATCTCGTTTACACTCCAGGCGTAAAATACTAAGACCGACGACAAGCAGCACTGTATAAGGTGCGAGACATCTGGTAATGCGATCTCCAATCCAACTGTCGAGCATGACAACTAAGGCAAATGCTCCTTACAACGGTGTTTAGGCAAAATATTAACCGTTTGAAAATTGAATTCATAACGCACGCTCGGAGCGTGCATAGCACCGTAGCAAGGTCACCGCCGCCCCACCGCGCGCTCGCATTCCATTCGAAGTCGTGTAGAACGGGACGCGTCGAGAGAATCATTGTGAGGAAATACCGGTCGTAAAGGACGCGTGTGGAATTATAACGTCGATTTAATTGCTTCTCATTTGCGTTGTGTTTTTTGTTTGTTTTACGTGTCAACGAGACTGAATTTTGAGTTTTGAGCGATTAACTAACGTCGTTACAATTAATTAACGTCAAGTTGTATAGTGGTTGCATGCATAAGTGCATTCTGACAATATTAATTCGCGTCGACGAGTTGCTTTGTGCCATTTGATTTAACTCGGAGATATTTTCCTGTGTCGGTTAAAACCGCTAAACTTTGTGACCCGCGAGAACCAGCGTTCGTATTAGATAATAGATTTGTGCAAAGGGACGCTAGACTTAGAGTGACACCGGGTGACGCCGCTGGAGTGATACCACATAGGGTGGCGGTGCTGGAGTCAGGGTTGCTGCAGATTAAAAAGGGCTAATTCAGGTTAAACATATATACACTTCTCACACACTACTTACATTCACTACACCTAACGCCTGAACGAGCCTTGTGGTCCGTCTTCGCTTCTGAACCAGGTAAGTCGCATTAAGTACCTAATCCATATATATTAAATATCCATAGGCATTTGAGCCCCACACTTAGTTGTACGTCGAATCTAACAGCTGTATGGGCCCCTGTATGGTCGACCTTAGTCTGGGCAACTAGGTACGTGTACAAACGGTAGTGGCCCATTTTATTATAGTAGAGGGTGAACAGGAGCATTCCAATCACCTGATGGTAAGTGACTACCACCACCCACAAACAACTCCAATTTTAGCAGAGAAAATTTACGAGCTGAGGAAAGAGAAGATATGTCAGAAGCTAACGAGTACCCACCAGCACTTCATGGTATTTGTGCACTATGACGGAGACGAGCCGCAGCAAGCGCATGGTGACGGGGAAGTGCGGCCGCTCGGGCGCCTGGCTGCCCGCGCCGCCCCCGCCCCCCGCCCCGCCACCCGCACCGCCCGCCGCGCCAGGGATGTGCAGTGACGTGAATGCGGCCCTATGTACAAACATATACAGTTGAAATTACAGTGACAGTTGCAAAGTTTTCTCTTCATTTCACACTTCTCTTTGTCCTAATGTGGAGAAAATTTGCTTCAATGAGATCTATATATAAGAGACACAGCAACAGCATGCCGCTATTTCAAGCTGTAGCCATAATATGCAGTATACTTTTTAGTTAACCACGTAAAACATTTTAAAATATATGGAGTATTTACAAAAACTGTTAATAATTGATTATATTACTTAAGTTTAATTAACATACCTGTACTTCACATTTGGGGAAAAAAGCCTTATTATCAGAGCACAGACATGCTCTTTCAGCAAAAATCTAAATTCTTGAATCTGTAAATGCCAAAATATACTCAAATTCAATAAACAGTACAAAATTTACGTAATAAAGTATATCTGATATAACACTTTACAGTATGTGTCGTACTATAATGTGTGAATATTCTGAAATAAAACTACTTCATAGACCTTAAGTAATTTTATATTATCTGGTTTCTGGTTTCTGGTGATGTTAATGCTGTTAGCCTTTTAGCTCTTACAGCTTCATCGGTCTAAAGTAATTTTATATTGATATGACGCAAACACTTATTGGAAATAAAAACGAATGATAAATCACAATCTTACTAATTAAGTAAAAAATACTTTCATTCGTAATGTACTTTTGAGTATGTGCACCGCATAGGTACACACACATCTACAATACATGTAAAACAAAAGCAAGTATACTTAATTTTAATAAAAATTATAAATGGAGTCTGTGGGTAATATTTCTTAAAATTAAATACTTCCTTACTTTGAAAAACACAGCTGAGAAATCCGTCAGAACAGTGTCAAGGAGCTCCAAGCCAAATGTTTTTGGCACTTCAGATATGCCAACCAACCAGTGAGCGGCGTCGCCATTTATTAGTTGAATTATGTCCTGTAGAGAAATAGAAAATTTTATCCCATGCTCATGATTTAGGGTACGAAATAGTTTTTAATTGTAATTATTATGTTTGCAAAGGATATATGTATATATATATGTTAGTTCACATTGGCAGTCAAAATTATTTGAATTTCTAACTTTATTTTTTACTTTTTACTATAATTTAATTATTGTCTATACGAAAGATCTTTCAGTGAGTAAAAGAAAAGGTAAGAGGTAGAAAAAAATTGCACAATGTACAATTAGAACATTATTAAGGTGATCTCTGAGGGAATTTCATATGCGAAGAAAAATATAAGCCATGTGATTTAAAAAAAGTTTCGAGCTTGTTTACTTATAAACCCTTTTTTTGCTATTTAGAGCCTTCAAAATAAGACACTAGAAAATAAAAAAAAGACTTAAAAATGTCCCATCATTTATTTTATTAAATAAAAGTTAAAGTTAAAATTTAAGCTACAGCCTATTACGTCCCACTGCTGGGCACAAGCCCCCTTACATTTCTGGGAGGGTTTTAGAGCAAGGAAGTGTCCGCCGCGGTGGTCCAATGCGTGTTGGCGAACTTCACATGTCTTCGAAATATTTTTTTCTTATTTCTCAGACATGCAGGTTTCCTCACAATGTCTTCCTTCACCGCCGAGCACGTGGTAAATTAGCACTTAAATTGCAATGAACAATTTCATTGGTGCTGGTGGGAATCGAACCCGGATTGTACGCGTACTATGAAATTTACAGCGCATCACAAATTACACAAACATTTACAGTTTATCAAATATCTTGAAATTAATTGACCTTTGACCTTCAAATGACGTCATAAAGTGGGCAAATGAAGTGAGGCAATATCTAGTGATTTAAAAGCCATAATATTGTCTACCAAGTTGTCAAAATTCTATGTATAGACTTTGTTTATAAAATAAGATTGTATTTATGATTTCTTATTGTGTTTAGTTTCAAATTTAATTGAATCACGAAAACCTTTGCGTTTACTATTGCTAGGCCACAGTGGATTTCGGGTATAACCACGATGAAGGGACCACTCTATTTTCGTCGTTATATCCGGAAGTCGTTACAGGCAAAGGTAACAAATTTAATACATTACAGTTGCTACTCAGAATATCACTTTGTAACTGAACCATAAATTTAACCCCGACACATACATGCTTCCCTACCTACTTAGCTGATATCTATAAACAAAAGGTAAAGGTCTCCACACTTGCTGACCATTTAACTTCGCTATAGGTAAATGGTTGCTACAACCAAATATATACTTAGTCAGGTCATAAATTCTGTCACATGTTTAATATAAAATAATTGAAACAAGTTTATTCATTATGTAACCATTTATATACCAAAATGAACTTAACAAAACATAGATTCTTATGACACTAAAGTTTATTCAAAATGACCTCTGTGATTTTGAATACAGGTCTTCAATCTGCGCGGCTAGTCGTCTATCGCAGCACGAACGAGGTCCATGTTAATATCGGCGGCTGCCTTAATCAAGGATGTCTTGAGTGACTCCAAACTGGGATGAGGCTTTGAGCACGCCTTTTCCTCCAAGTGTTGCCATATCTTGTAATCTAACGGATTCAAATCTGGACTGGAGGAGGGCTAGTCTTCGTGCCGGATGAAGTCGATTTCACGCGCCGCCAGCCAGTCTTGTGTGCTCTTCGCTCTATGAGCTGGCGCCGAATCTTGTTGGAATACCCAGTGCCTGTTATTGAACATGGTATGAGAAACAGGTTCCACAAGGTTCGTCAGGACTGTATTTTGATACACAACTGCATTCGTTTTTACACCTTTCTCACAAAAATGTACCTCTGTTAAGCCCCAATAAGAAACTCCCAACCATACCATGAACGAGGATGGAAAATAACCTCGTTGGACACGCGGAATACGGTTGCTCGCGTCTTCACTACTGTGTGCGTACACCTTATCATTTTGTTTGTTGTAGCTCTCTTCTACGGTAAAAATTTTTTCATCCGAAAAAAGAATTTCCCGATATTTTTTTCCCGCGTACCGCTTCAACTAAGCGCGGCATCTCTTCAGTCTCAGGTCCATTAGACGAGCATTCAAACGATGTCCTGTTTTTCTTCGATATTCTCGAAGCCTTCATTTCCTAAGTCTTCATTTAATTACTTCATTTAACTTCATTTAACACCCTTTTCACCGTGGTTCTGCTTAACCCCATCTAAAGGGCCAACAGTTTCTGCTTACGTTTGGGATTTCTTTGAATTCGCGCCTTTACAGCTTTTATCACTGCTGGAGTCCTAACAGACTGAGGGCGACCACTTCTTGACCTGTCATCTACACTAGAGTCTTCATTGTATCGTTTGATGGTACGATAGACGAATCTTTTGGTTATATTCAAATTTTTCAGCATGTCAAAAATTTGAATTGGCGCGTAACCGCAACGATGCAACGCAATAACTGCAACACGGTCATCTTTAAGCGACCACTCCATATTGAGTAAAATTCTAAAAAGTATACAGTATTATTTTCATGAACAATTCGAAATTCGAATTCAATAAACTTTTTTGTGACCAGCATTCTAAAAGAAAAGTTTTTACTGTGTGACAATACTTATGACCTGACTAGGTATAATGATATACTGATATTGCAGTTTTTGAAAGTACGAGTAAATAAGGCTTCTATTTTTATTTGAAATTATCCCAAATTGAATGTAATTTATGGGCAACAACTACGCGTACGCGCGCTCCTGTGTGTGCTATTCGATTCACAACGTTTTTGCCGACCTTAAAAATGTGCGCGTGCATAGTAAAATAGATATTTATGAATGTCAATCAGTTAAAATAATGCATTACCACGCATTTTGAATTTAAAGATAAAAAGAAAAGAATTTTTGAGATTTTTTTTAAATCAATTTTTCTTCACCATTTTCCTATATTACTTATTCCGACCCTTGTCTGCAATTTGGCCAGTTATTGCAAAATAACCTTGTATAGGGGGAGGCCTATTCCCAGCAGTGGACTTTAGATAGGCTGTAACAATGACGGTATATATTCTATACTATATAACAAGAATATAAAAACAACACCTTAATCTGTCAATTCTTTGAAGTACACATGGGGCTATCCAATGTCCCCTTTGTAGAATGCTCCTAAGAGTATGGTAATATTTAGAAAGGACCCCTCAGAACCAGAGAGTATATGATCACTACGTTTAGTCAGAACCATAGTTGTTGTGCTCAGAACAATTATTTTTTAAATGTTATTTATATGAATTATAAAACTAAAATTTTATTAGAATTAGTTTCGTTACTAAAAACTTTAAATTAACAGAATTTATTTCAAATGACGAGTTTCCGTCTTTACCTACGCGTCGCGTTTACTTCACATACTTTAGTCTTATTTCCTTCGCCGCGTGAGTTTAAGAGGCAACCACAATTTTTTTTTTTAAATTAAGTGGGTACAATATAAAGCTTTTTGTTAGTTTTTATATAAAAGGTAAGTAATTACACTGTTTTCAAATGTTAATTCCTTGTATTTTGCTTCTTAACAATTTTATACACTTTATAAAATTTCCATTTCAAATACTGTGTCGTTTACTATATTTAAAAGCCAGAATTAACTGAAAATTAAATATAAAGTGTGAATTAACCCAATAAATACAAATTTTTATACTCCACAAAGTCTAATTTGCGAAAATTACGTTTTATGTTATAATTTCGATATATAGCGAATATTATGGCGAAGTTGTTTTCAACAATAATTAAAAATTAAAAATTTTGTTCAACTGACTCCAATATAAATTATTAAGAATAACATTATTATTCAGACCTTGATCAAATTTATATGGGACCACATGTGAAGCACCAGCTTTCAAATAAAAAAGAACCATCGAAATCAATTCACCCAGAAGAAGGTTGAGGTAACACACATAAAAAAAACATACAGTCGACTTCCTCATCCTGTTTGAAGTCGGTAGAAAAATGTCGTTGGTCAAAGATAGCGTAATAAAGTATATACCTATGATTTAATTTTTTTGAGGCTCCTACTGAGTATATCGATATAATTATATTATATATTTCTTTTCTTTATGAAAATCGAGAGTTTCTATGTCCTTGTTTCTTTCTTCATAGTATTTATTTGATTTTAACATATGGATATTGAATTTTAACATATTATGGCGATTCGTTAGATTTGCTTTTGTTGTAGAAGTGATATATTTTTTGTTTTCTTTTCAATAGAATTGTTTGGTTCTGTTATTTATCACTGTTTTAACCATTGAACTTGTTTACGAAACTTTTGTTTAATAAAATTGTTTGACGATGTTTGATGACTTTTTTTACACACAAAAAATTTTTTCAATTAATAAAATTAATCCCTCTCACTTCTTACAGTTTCCTTCCACTGCTGGTCATGGGCCATGGAAATAAAGGGGAGCACAGAATTTTACTGCCACAAATATTACCCACCTTTGCAACGCTGCCCTAAACATCGCACGGAGTTATTAAATTTAGAACAAATGTTCGCCTTTTTTTCTCCCACATTTTTTTCTTGTCATTATTACAACAAACACCGTTACATCCTATAAAAACTCCCACTGAACATAGGCCTCTACTATATTCCTCATAGAGGGTATACTTGTCATAGTTGCCACGTTCTGTTCAAGTGGATCAGTCGCCTTTTACGAAACCCACGGAATGAAATGAATATTCATACACCGCCACTACACAGTAATTGATAATTTCTCGAAACATTTCATTTATCGACAAATCGTCTTGCAATAGTCATTACTCTAGCGCTCACTTGACCTTCATACAAATAATTCGATAATTTTTTATTTTCGGATAAGAACATAGTAATGACTTTAAGTTATATTTACCATCTTTTAAAAAAATTTAAAAAAAGGCCTGACCTACTATACTCTTTGGCTTGACCATAGTTCTGACTAAGTAGGGAGTTTTGGCGGGAACTTGACGGGCGGCGGTTTGCTGCTCCTGTTGTTTTGTTTAAATAATGGTTTGAAGTGGACTTTGATATTTAAAAGTAGTGCGACTTTGTGTATTAAGTGTCTGCGCATGTGAACTATTAGTGGAAACTGTAAAACAAGTGCTCTGATAGTGATGTGATTCTCAAAATAAGGTGCCTGTATGATTAGGCGCCTTGAGATACCATCGCTAACCGTCAGCTGTCTGCTGGCTCAAGTTGCCGTCAAAATCTCCCAAGGGCTGCACAATGTGACGCATCAACATATTGTGAAGCAGTATACTATGAAGAATAATTATTATAATATAATATTGTAACTTCAGGCTCAGAAGGGCTAGATCCCAGAGCCGTAAAGCCAGTTATTAAGAAGAAGTCTGACTAAGTACGTCCAATAAAATGTCAAGGTCTGAGAGGTTAAAAAGTTTACATACCGCACTACCACTTACCCTCACTACTAATCGATTTTCAACATTGGAGACCACTTACTTGCAATATCAGGTATGCGTCAGTTGCACACGGTTTCAATTCTTTGGGGGCTTTGTTGTTCGTTTGAAGTCTTACATCGGCTGGATTCACTTTTAATTTTCCTATAACAATGTAATAAATTAAAGTACTGTAGTATTGTAATGTGTACTAAAGTGTTAGTAAATAAAAAATACTACTTGTTCACGCCCAAACGTTGGTTTCAAGAATTGACGCCGGAGGGCGCTCGGCTCGGTGCCATACCGGTTTTGACGTTCGGGCGAACAGTGTGGTTTTGGCAGAGGGCGCAAGCGCAGAAGTTAGTTGCTTGAATGCAGTGCTGTCGATCGCACGTCGTGAAGTCGCTCGGGATAACCTCCATTTTTCAGAGTCGGTTTTGTTAGGAAGTTAACATTGATTGCGATCAACATCTGAATTTGTGTGTGATGCATGCCTAATTTACCGCGAATTTGGTTATTCTAATTTGATAGCGTATATAAGTGCATTTGACAATATTAATATGCTCGTGCGGCATTTGATATAGTTCGGAGAAATTTTTCGTTGTCAGTTGAACGCTGAACTTTGTGACACTAGAGAAGGTCGTGTTAAGTTCTCGAAACAATTTGTTGCGGAGTGAGTGAAGGTGAACTTTGACCTACGAGTCGTACTGCGTGTTATGCTTTAGAATAAACGGGAGTTAGTTGCGTCTTGAAGTTAGTTAATTGTACGATAAAGTTAATAGACTGACATAGTGAAGAAGGAAGAAATTGACCGTGGGTGACGCCGCTGGAGATTACCATAATTTGGAGCGGTGCCGGAGTCCGGGCAGCTGCCGACTTCAACGGTCCAGTCAGGTCAATCACATCCACACCACAAAAACCACCACCACACATGCACATACACACCTCCGTCCTGACCGAACCTTGAGACAGTCGCCGCCTCAGATTCAGGTAGTACTAAGTACTCTTTATTTGACTAGCCTCCCCATTAAAGTGTAGTAGGATAGAACATTTTCCATATAGCTATTCGGGCTCGAACCCGCGGCTGCCCGTTGAATCATTTTTTATTCAATAGAGATCACATGTGTAATTCTTATTGAAAGGCATTTTTTACCTTACCACTGGTTCGAAAACAAACCCTCTATCCTGGGAAGAACCAGCAAGAAACCCAGCGGGACTTTTTTTAAAGTAAATTTTACATTAATGGTTGTACAAACTATTTACAAAATTTATTTTAAAAACTGCTTGGAAGCGACCACTTCATTCCCAGGGGTTATTATCAACCATGTATTCATTTATAGTATAATAACCCTTTTCATACAGTTTCATCTTAACAAAACATTTAAACTTGGTAATAGAGAGAGCCTGTACACTTTCCGGGACTTTGTTGTAATAACGTATCATTGCCTCAAGAATGAATTACTGACTCTGTGGAGTTGAGAAACTGGTATCACTACCTTGTGTTTGTTTCTAGTGTTTACAGAATTTATATCACTTTTTTTACTAAAACTAACTTTGTTTTTGTGAACATACATTAAATTTTCGTAAATATACTGAGAGGCCAAAGTTAATAAGTATATTTATTTCTTTAAATTTATCTCTTAAGAGACTCTAAATTGATCTCTAAGAGAGTGTAAGAATATCTACTAATCCATATCATCTCGTTGGTGACATAAGACGTGACAATGGAAAACAAATAAGGAGGCAGCAGTATCTTACTAATAACAACTAAAATAAAAAACTGCGGTTGCCCACCCGCTTGCCAAGCGTAGCAATAATGGCAAATATCCCCTCTATGAGGCAATCTATGGGGGTAGGCCTATGTTCGGCCTATTATTTAAAGTCAAATTACAGCCTATATACCTCCCACATATGAGCACAGGCCTCTTTTTATTTCTCAGACATGCACAATTTCTCACGAAATTTTCCTTTACCACCAAGCATAGCCCTTAATGGTACATTTTAAGTCAAAAAGTTAAGTATTGTAATTTCAGAACAATGAAAAGATATATCAATCCAACTGCCAAGAGTGACAATTAAAGTAAACCTTAAATGGATGAGGATCCATGTCTCGTATTGGACTTTTACGGGCCCGTGAAGAAAGAGAAAGGGAAGAAAAAAACAATGTTCAGTAACAGGATATATTATTATAAAAAGACTCGACTGTGTAGTGGCAGTATAAGAATATGCATTACCCAACATATCGTCTCATGAGTGTGATAAGACAAACAAACCAGGAGATGGGCAGTAGCGTCTTTCTAATAACAACGAAAAAATTAAAAATTGTGGTTGCCAATCCGCATGCCAAGCATAGCGACTATGGCAAATATTCCACATATGAGGTAAGCTATGGTTCAGGTTGTATGTTCAGCAGTTGATTTTTGATAAGCTGTAAAGGTAACGGATAAAAAGACAAGTTTGATTTATTGTTTTCAAAATAGTTACCGTCTGCTTCAGCAAGCGCGCGTTCGAAAACGAGTGCGACAAGTTGCCGCACAGTAGCAGCTGCCGCATGACTCGTACTGACATCACGTGTCTCGCTCGCTGACACCGTTCGCATGCACATCACCATTGTCTAGTAATGGTAAATAAATAGCTTTGTTGTAATACTAATATTTTCTAATATAATTTATTGAGAGCTCAATCTCACTTAGTGTACTCATAAGATTTCAGTTCATAGCTGTCTATATAACAGAAACTTTTAACCAATAGTGAAAATTGCCTATAATACCAATCTTCTTCTACTACTACCTAATCATCTGTGCGAATCATAGTTGAAGGCTTTACACATATCATTATATAAAAATATGAATGGTACCCTATTGTTAATACTTTCCGTTATTAAATGTATTACATTATATCAAGTCAAAGTAGTGGAGCTTCTTTTACAAAAACCATATAGTTCATGTTTTCGTAAATTATTTAAGGAGATAAAGCTATATTTTAGGAAATATCGGAATGTATAAATATAGTATAAATATATAATAGCTTAAGACAATTTGAGAACATTGAGAAAGTATACTTGTTCCATTGATTAGTTTATCATATAGGTAAGAGGTTGGTTTAACTATTTAACACATAGTTTTATTACATGAGTGCTAATGCCATCATGACCTTCTTCAATGTTCTTTTTAAGTGACATAATGATTGTTAATATTTCAGTCATTTCTTAATTTTATTTATAAAACTAAAGTGACAAGCAAACTTACAGTACACCTGATAGTACGTGGCAATTGCAGTCCATGGACACATGAAACCAACTTCAAATAACAAAGACTATGAATGCATTGTCACCACTGAGTACTAAGATGGAATACCTTACAACCTGTAATTATTTGACTCTCCAATACTACTTTATTTGACTTCTTTCGGACTGGAAAATAGCACAGCAAGCACTGCTGTTTGCCACCAGAAATAAAGAAGGGTATTATATTTCTAAATTGAAATATATTATGATTTAAATTATCTTCTTTTGGGCAAGACATATTTATAAAATAATTATTGACCAATTCACATACTATATTGTGTACATTCATATTTATATTGTGTCATTTTTATTCATGTTCATAAAAGTATTATTCGTTACTTCATTGTGTTTTTATTTTTTTTATTTAATCTTTATTGTGCTACACCTTAATCTAAGGGTTACAATGGGAGGACTTAATGCCTTATTTTTCTCTACCAGTCAACTCTGGGAGAGTTAGACAAGTAATAGTTGATAAGTGTTAAAAAACGTTAAAATGACTAGACATATATTGTATCATCATCATTCTCTAAACCATTTCCCATTATCTGGGGTCGGCGCAGTAAATCTTTTTGTTCCATTCCTCTCTATCAGCCGTCATTTCCATACTTACTCCTTTCATTCTCATATCACTCTTCACATAATCGATCCATCTTTTATTCGGCCTTCCTCTGCCCGTGTGTCCCTCCACATTCATATTCAACACTCGTTTTGTGACATGACTTTCATTCCTCTGCATCACATGCCCAAACCATGCCAATCTGCTTCCTCTCACCTTTTCTACCACTGGCGCTACTTTCAGGCTTCCTCTTATATACTCATTCCTTATCTTATCCATCCTTGTCACACCACACATCCATCGTAACATTCTCATTTCATTCGCATGCAGTCTATTTTCATATATAAACATAAAATATATTCACATACATACTAATAATACATATACAAAAACATTAAAAAAAAAACATGTGTGAGTGTCGTGGAAAACTCAGTTGGAACGAAGTTCCATATTCTTGATAAACATATTATATTATTGATTAACAAATACAAATAAATGTATTACCAACGTCTATTAAAATGAAGCGTCATTTAAAATAAAATACACTAACACAAGGGGTAGTGATGAAAAAATCTTACACTTTTTGTCGCCTAGCTCCCATCCGCCAAACCCGTACTGTCCGATAAGGAACTTCATCCAATAATATAAATTAATAAATGTATATACAGTGGATTTCGGGTATAACCACGATGAAGGGACCATTCTATTTTCATCGTTATATCCGGATGTCGTTATAGCAAAGGTATCAAATTTAATACATTACAGTTGCTACTCAGAATATCACTTTGTAACTGAACCATAAATTTAACCCCGACACATACATGCTTCCCTACCTACTTAGCTGATATCTATAAACAAAAGGTAAAGGTCTCCACACTTGCTGACCATCTGTATGGATGTAAACAAAAGATATGAAATGTGTGTGAAAGAAAGAAATCTTTGTGTCTTTGGCGGCCGACTCCAGTCGCAATATGTACATGGGATTTCTAGGAATTTGTTACAAATGATTCATTAAAAACAGTCGCTACACCCGAACTCGGCGTTACATCCAAAGTCGCTATAGCCACATGAATTTTGTACTAAAATATGCTTTAAATTCAAGGGACTGAGATTTAACGTCTCTATAGGTAAAAGGTTGCTACAACCAAGGTCATAATAAATAAAATCCACTGTATGTATTCATATACATATTGCATATATAATATATAAAATAAATAAAAATTAAAATAGAAATCAAAGTTCAAATACAGTTTTCCTAAAAATAATGACCAGCCTTTTAAACGCATACTTATTCATTGCTTTTCTTATATCAATGGACAGAGCGTTCCAGAGAAGTATTGCCTGATCTGTAAATGAAGAATTAAAGAAACCAATACTTTGCTGAGGTATAAGAATATCAAGGACTTTAGAAGAACGAGGTTCATGGTCAACAGTTGAATACTGAAAGTGGAAGTTATCTTTAAGATGCGAAGGAAATTCATCATCATTAGATTTTAGATCATTATAATTTAGATAATAATATATGCCACATTGCTTGGAACTTGTTAGCTTTATGCCTAGCTTTGTATGACTGTGAAGATGATTACAATGACAATAACTAAATTATTGATGCCTTAGTTTTGATTTGATTGATGACTTACCCTAGCCAATGTGTCGCCATGTACCAGATCAGATGTGGTCATCAACAGAGCAGCAGTTTGAAGAAGTTTTAGCTCTAATACACCAGCTTGGCCTAAGTTGTACAGACAGTCAACTACATGTCGAGCTCCTTTGGCATCTATTCCTTGCTGGGCTATAAGCCGCTGTATGGTGCCCAAACAAAACTACAAAAACAAGTAAAGAAAATCAATGAGAATCATGTTTGATCATACTCTTATCTTATCCTAACCATAGTTTAAACAATGTCAAGGAATTGAAGTAAAGATAAAAAGAATATGAACCATGTTATATCTATGTAAAACCTTCATGTATATTATAATAAAAGGTAAATCAAATTATCTTTTTTTTAAACTGTAAGAAAATCACATTTTATTAAACATTTTAGAAACTTTTTCATCATTCTTAAAGCACTCGGAAGGATTTTAGAAAATTAGTTCTTACCTTGATTATTTTAATATCTTTTGATTCGCATCCTTGTACTAAGGGATACAATATTTGGTTTACAACCCCATACAATGATGCTTGTGGATTATTTGAAGCAAGCGACAACTTCTCTATAGCCTCATCACAGGCCTGGAAACAAAGGTTATTTTATATGAATTATATAGCACATCTATTTGTTAAATATATATATATCTTTCTATTATCTATTATCAGAGCAAGTACTAAAAACACAGTGCTTGTTAAATAATAATTAACATTTACAATTAACAAAAAATTTCAATAAAAGTAAAATTCCTTGTTCTATTGTTAGTACCTAAATAAGTATTTCAGGTGGTCAAGTTTAAAATTGAATAATAATATCCTTTATAGTAAGTAACGAGAATATTAAATTTGTTTACATTTTATTTATTAGCAAATGAATAAATTTGTTTGACAAAATGTACATAAATAAAACATAAATACGAAACCTCTCTTATCTGAGGATATTTCTTTTTAGTTTCCAAACTAAGTGTTTTGAAGTCATTTTGTAAAACGTCCAGGAATTTCTTCGTGGAGTCATCACCAGTCACAGCACTCACGAAAGCCATTTTTAAATTAAAATTCATCAATTTAATTATACATTTTATAGTTTATTTAAAATTAAAACTATGCAGCTATTTAATTTATGCAGCATATCGAAAATATGCCATGTACACAAGCGACATCACTACATTGTGTTCGAAAACATACAAAATTAACTCTTCTACATTTTTACTGGATCTTTTTTAAAGATTATAAATTTATTATACTTATTTTAGTACACATTTTTACTCATATTCTTTGTTTCTATTAACCACGTTAAACTAACAATAAATTAGGTAGCTATTAACATATTGTTTAATATCAATTCGTTATTACTAAACGCAAAAACAAAGACTGCCAGCTATGAAGCAAAAACATAGACCACATAGTATATTTAGATTCTCCATTTCTTTGATACGTTTAAAGATTTTATTAAAAATGATATTATTATTATTTTGTTAATGGACCACATGTGTACACACAGTAAATATTGGATGCAATTTGATTTTAATTTATTTATTTCATTTATAGCTGCAGAATGGCCCTACCACGTATAACACGTTTACACCTAAAAGGATTTAATTACTACGAATAAATGCTTGATTAAACAAATTTGCTTTCATTTACACTATATTTTTAATTAATTTTGTTTTTCAAAATCTAGGGACTTTTTCATAGAGGTCTGGGACTTTTCTTTTTCGCAACGGCAACACTGATCTGCAATGAAGAATGTATCCAAAGAGAATATAACCACTACGTTTAGAGGCGGGACTTCCTAAGAAAAAGTAAATGTATGACATTGCGCCAAGCTATTCTACCAACATCATAGATATAAAAAAAACCATAGACAACCAACATCAAGACATGACAATAAATTTTTGACAAACAGTGCTGACAACATAGGCGATTTCTAATAGTGCTGTAAATATATCTATCCTTGAATAATTCTATCGATAAAACTTTTATCGATATATTGTTTATCGATATTTTTACATAATAAAAGTTCTCTATACTGAATTATTTATGAGCAATACTTTTTTTAATCTGGGGATTGAGTAAAAATGCCGATTAGGATAACAAATCATTGTATTTTACACGCAGAAATTTGAAATTATATCTCTACAGTTATTAGGTACAAAAATATGTGTAAAGAAAATATAAAATTAAAACGCACTATTATACTAATAATTAATTAAGTAAAAACTAAATGACGACTCCGTAGCGCAGAGGCTAAGCGTTTGGCTGCGGCACTGCAGGACCGAGGCTTCGTTCCCGCACTGAACTATTGTTGCTATGCTGTAAAATAAACAGTTTCCGTCTGGACGCTTGTTTTCAACGTTAGTTTTTTCAAAAGTGTATAAAATTGGGTTTATTAACACTAATTGGATTAAATTGCTTTTAACTGCAACAAACATTATGTACAAATCGCTAGGCTCTTTCACAGAGGTACCTACGTACATACTACTCGCAGAGATCGTATACTTATTGTCGCTTTCAAAGAAAAACTATTTATAACCAGGTAATTACAAATAACTTTGAGTTTAGTTTTATAATCGAATTCTTACCAATATATGACTTTATATGGATATTATCTTTTGCTACATGTAAATGAAACCTAATTAACATACACATAATAGTGGAAGTTTAAATTAACTCCACTGATGAAATAACAGTTCGTTTTAGTTGGATTTCTAAATCCTCGGATTTGCAATGTTTGCCACAAATATGTTTTAACATGTGAATCTTTTCAATTGGTGCATGTGCCAACTGTTTCGCCCATTGTTTGCACCTGAAAAATAATATAAATAAAATCACATTTTTATTGAACAAATAGAATGCTATCAGTCACAATTGATGATGTAGTTTCTAAGTATAGTTGGTTTCGGATTGCCATCCCATCGAACTATCAGATTTAGGAAACTGTGTGTTTGTATTTGTGCACACAATCGTACACAATTAAAACCAGTCCCATGTAGATGGCTAGTCCAAAAATGTAGTTGCGTTAAACATCATATTACAATTAAAGTTTAACTCACCACATACCTTTCATCATCTAAGGGAAATATTGCTACGAATAGCCTTTTCTTGTTATTATTTTTTCCGCTTCTTGCACCATTTAATTGGCAAGTTTTATAATCATCATCATCATTACAGCCCTTCACAAGTCCACTGCTGAACATAGGCCTCCCCCAAAGAATGCCACAAAGCACGGTCCTGAGCCACCTGCATCCATCGACTTCCTGCATGTCTTACCAGGTCGTTACTCCATCTCGTGGGGGGACGCACTACACTTCGCCTACCGGTACGAGGCTGCCACTCAAGAACCTTTCTTCCCCATCGGTTGTCGGTTCTTCGAGCTATATGGCCGGCTCATTGCCACTTCAGCTTACTAATCCGTTGGGCTATGTCGGTTACTCTGGTTCTACTGCGGATATCCTCATTCCTAAGTATATCACGCAGAGAAACTCCGAGCATAGCCCTCTCCATAGCTTGCTGAGCGACCTTGAGCTTCCTCATACGGCAAGCAGTGAAGGACCACGTCTCAGTTCCGTAAGTCATCACTGGCAACACGCAATGGTTGTACAATTTCGTTTTAAGGTTTTGAGGTATGTCTGACGAGAAGATGTGTCGTAGCTTCCCAAACGCTGCCCAGCCGAGTTGAATCCGTCGATTGACCTCTCGCTCGAAGTTGGACTTACCTAGTCGGACTATTTGTCCCAGGTAAACATACTTGTCAACAACTTCGAGCTTAGTGCTCCCAATAACTACCGGCATAGGTGTGACATGGACATTAAACATGATCTTTGTTTTGTCCATGTTCATCTTAAGACCTATCCGTTGGGAAACACTATTGAGGTCATTGAGCATAGTGCTTAGGTCCTCCAGCGATTCTGCCATAAGGACTATATCGTCGGCAAATCGAAGGTGAGTGATGTACTCGCCATTGATGTTGATACCGGTTCCTTTCCAGTCCAGAAGCTTGAAAACGTCTTCCAATGCAGCGGTGAAGAGTTTCGGGGATATGACGTCACCCTGTCTTACACCTCTCTGCAATTGGATAGGTTTCGTACTCTGGTTCTGTACTCGGATAGCCATCGTAGCCCTACTGTACAAGCACTTCAACACTTCGATATACCGACAGTCGACTTGGCACCGCTGAAGGGACTGCAGCACCGCCCAAATTTCGACGGAATCAAAGGCTTTCTCATAGTCCACATACGCCAGACATAGTGGCAAATTGTACTATTCGGACTTCTGTACAATTTGCCGAAGGGTATGTATGTGGTCTATGGTGCTAAAGCCCTTTCGGAAACCGGCTTGTTCGGGAGGCTGGAAGTCGTCAAGTCTGTGCGCGAGACGATTCGTAATGACTCTCGAAAACAGCACGTAAACGCGGCTCAGAAGGGAAATCGGTCTGTAGTTCTTTAAGACAGCGTTGTCACCTTTCTTGAAGAACAAGACCACCGCACTTCTGCTCCACGCCTCCGGTGTAATGCCAATGAGAACGGAATTAAAGAGCTTCTGAAGGACTTCAAGTACCTGTCTTCCACCCGCTTTCAGAAGCTCCGATGTAATTCCATCCTCGCCTGGGGCCTTACCGTTTTTAAGGCGCTGGAGAGCCATTCTAATCTCGCTCAGACTGACGTCCGGGATATCTTCGGAATAGTGTCGGATGAGACTCGCTCTTGGAACGTTACTCACACTTGCGTGTGGCTCCAACGATGATGTGTACAGCTGCCCATAGAACCTCTCAATCTCACTCAAAATCTCAGGTGTCCCGGAAACGATGCTGCCACATTCTGTCTTCAGCTTTGACAGTTGGCTCTTTCTGGCAGACAGATCTCTGGCAAAGACTTTGGAGCCTTGATTCCGCTCGATCGCTTCTTCAATACGAGCTGTATTGAAGTTGCGTAAGTCCCGCCGCATGCATTTGGAGATCTGTCTGTTCAGATGCCTGTATGCTGTCAAGTCTGTTGAAGAATGTAGCTTCATCTCCCGTCTAACAGCCATGAGATTAAGAGTGTGATCGGAGAGTTTTTGTGTTCTTCTGCGGCGGGTCTTGCAGAACTTAGCTCCGACCGCATGGACAGTTTCCACGAGCTTGTCATTCATATCGTCCACTTCATTGCAGTCTTCCAGGCACTGAAAACGGTTTTGTAACTCGAGCTGAAAGGTTTCGGAACTTTGGAACAGAGCACGAGGGGGACGGAGCGTTGACTTCATTAGACGAGACCTCCGCAACTTAACGTTTAGGTTCAATGTGCCTCTAACCATTCGGTGATCGCTACCAGTTTTCTCCCTCGCGATCACGGAGACATCACTGAACAGTTGTCGTCTGGTCGTCATAATGAAGTCAATCTCATTTTTTGTCGAACCGTCGGGGCTCGACCAGGTCCACTTCCTGTGGGGCCGCTTCTGGAAGAAAGAGTTCATCATAAAGAGTCCCTCTTTCTCCATGAAGTCGGCCAGCTGCTGGCCCCTTGGGTTCCTTTGCCCTATTCCAAATTTCCCTACTTTCAGCTCGCCGTTCTCTCTTGTGCCTAGTTTTGCATTGAAGTCTCCCATTAACACCGTATATTGGGTTTTGGAGGAATACATGGCTCTAGAGATATGCATGGCTCTAGAAGTTATTATAATGCATACCTATTTATTTTTTTAACAATTGTGTAAATGAACAACAGCTTCTATAACAAAATTTAAAGCAATCTTAATAAATGAAATATAATTATACAAATATAATTGTTTGATTTGACATTTGAGCCTATTTGATTTGACAGTGTGATTAATAGACATATTACGAAAAGCGGAAAGAAGAGATAACCGTCATTAAAATTTGACCCTTGTAGTACATATAATTTTTATTATGGAAGTTGCGCCAGCCTGAATGTATCCATAGAATGTATCACAGTTACAGACTAACTATTATTTAGTTAGGACAGTTACCATACTCTTTGCTAACTATAGTCGTATTTTTAATTAGACGAAGCCAACTGACAGTAGCTAATGTCACTTTGTAAAATAATGT